ACCATTAACTTAACCAAAGACCCAGTTGCCCTGAATATCTTTTTTTATAACTTTTCCACCGTAATAATGAAGTGTATTTTTGTAAATAATATTTTTAATGCACTTTATTTTAAAATGCATCAAACCAAACAAGAGAAAATAGTCAAATGTCTCCCTAACCAATCAGTAAATTCTTCACTACACACTTATACTTCACGGGAATTTTACCCCTCTGAATTTTTTTATTTACGATATTTTGTGACCTTTACATGTTGACCTGTCCAAGAAGGTCAATACACATTTTGTAGACGCGTAAGGGCTCAAGAAAAAAGACATAAAATAACTAAAATTGAATTAAATAGTCCATGTGACAGTATCTCACAGGAGATTATATAATTAATTCATTTTATTTTGTTATTTTTCTTTTTTATATCACAAAATCGTTTCATGATTTCTTTAAGTTTTTCTCAAAGTCCTTCAACGATGATCTTCTAAATATCGTCACTAGGAGCTCCAAATTAGTTTGTAGCTACTGATTTATGCTTATAATCATACACCAACTTTTTTAACAAAACATTCACCTAATTCATAAGAAACTTTAATATACGAATCTCAAAAATGGAATTCAAGTTTTTTCTTAAACCCCTCATAATTTCAGCAAACAAAAAAAGTAAACCATAATGAACCAACAATGACGAATTTGAAGTTTCACTTTCTAATTTTATTTTTATCAAATTTGCTTTTCACTCCCGAATTTGTGAATACTTATTTATGGATTTTTGTTTTTGGGTTCAATTTGAAATTGGAAGTTTATGTAGACTAGCTATGGAGTTGTCCTTTTTCTTTAATTTGGTGTAGAAATTTTTTCGTCATTTTCTCTTATTATTCTCTAAAGAAATTATTAGGATTTTGAAAAAGCAATATCTATTTGAAAATATTTTTCTTAATTTTAGTTTCTAGGCTTGATAAAAATGAAAACTTTCCTAATTCTATAGGGGATTATTAAATTATTATTTGGATTAGATTTAAAATTTACAAGTAAAAGAATTAAAAAAATGAATACACATTTTTTCATCGCGTATGTTGTACATCGTTGACATAAAATTGGTTATGACTTTTTAGGGAAATGATTATTTCATATTTAAATAGTTTATGAGCGTAATAGGATCCAGTATAGAATAAGTGTGTAGTTGAGAATCGATTAATAGATTGAGGGTTTTTTTTGACTATTTTCTCGACCTAACAATGCATAAAACTAATCTATGTTTAATTGCTGCAAGCATAATTAATACGTGTACTGTTAATTCAAATATTACTAATACACTCTATTTAACATTATTTTTACATATACTACCAATAACTATCCTTTATTTTAAAATATGTTATGCTTGTTTGGTAAGAAATTGAATAAGTGTATTAGAAGTATATTAAAATATGTTTTAAATGTATATTATCCATTAATAAATCTTGTACTATATGTGTTTATAGATTGTTCTCTATAATATGTATTAAAATTACATTATATGCGTTCAAGTGACAAAAAAATGTTATTGTTATAAATGATAAATATTATTTAATATAACATACTATATATAATACTCTTTTCATTTTAAAAAGAATAACCTAGCTTTTGTTTTAATCTGTTTAGAAAAAAATAATCTTTTAATCAAACTTCCTTTAGCACCGAAAGATAAAAGGCCTTGTTTCTGCTGTGTACAGTGGAAAAATAGAATAAGATGGAGCCTACCCATTTAGATCACAAGATTATACGACATTTTAGTACATTTGACATAACTTTAAGTTATGATCACAAAATTAAAAAAATTTATTTACCTTCTTAAAATTGAAAAGTTATGTACATTTAGTTATCATGATAATTAAATGTATTTGACTTTGATTTGAAATTTCTTTTTTGTTCAAGACCGACATTATCATCATGATAATTAGAAGCAACCTAAGCTGATAATTTTTTTCTTTTTTGAGATTTACTTTATCATCATGATAACTAAATGCATTTGACTTTGGCTTGAAAGTTGATTTTTGAAAAACAATTTTGATCTTTTTATTTGACCAACGCTTAAGATGTTTGGACTACCTCCATCATGGAAGCTTGCAACAATAATATGTTTGATGTAATTAGCAAGTGAGATATGAAGAGACGATGCGAATTCTGAGAGGTAGCTTGGCTAGTAAAAGTTCGAGGATAATGTTTTTCAGGTCGTTAGTTCGAGCTCTAGCAGGGTCACTAGAGGATTACAAATCAATCGTGTCTCTAGGGCTCCGTGAAATTAACTTTGGTAACATCCGCCTTGAAACAGTGGAACCCGACGAGTATAGCTAGTTGGATTCACAAAGCTATAATATCCAAAAATCACGTAAAAAAAAGGAAACAATGTGAGTATACATAGTTACTAGCTCTTAACTTTTAGAGATTAAAAAAAAATAATTTTCAATCATAAACTCTCGATTCAAATAAAAAATATTAAAAAATAAATGCGTAAAACAAATATAATAATAAAAAATAATCACGTTGAAAATAATGTAAACGAAAATAATATAACAATAAATAATATAATAACTAAAATATGTAAGACTTACTTCCAATAAGGAGGCTTATGTATAAGTAATTAATAATCTAAGAACACTTACTAGGGCAAGTGAAAAGATTAGGATGAACAATATTATTATTGATGTTTAACGTTCTTAATCGCTTAAGCTTTATAAATTTGGTAAAAATATCATATAGTTTTATCGATTTAATTTTAATTTTAAAAAAAAATATAATTTTTTTAAATTTTATAATTTTAAATCAAATATATATAAAATATATGAAAAAGAATATCATTAGAAAAATTAAAATAAAAAAATTGTCAATTTTTATTAACTTCTTAAAAAAATTTAAAATAGAAGTAAGATGAAATAAATTGAAATTATGAAAATGATTATTATTATTATTATTATTATAATAACACTGCAGGCAACACGCTATTGATGTCAAGATCAAACATGAGTCACACACTTGGCGGGTACGTAAGACCAAATAATTTAAGGATTTTTCGTACATCCAATCTTATTTTTTTATAAGTGAAAATTACGCGGTTAAGTAAATTTTTATTATTGAATTAGTCATCATAGTTATAGTTTGCAATAATTATTACTTGCAATTAACATTAACCATTAATTACGTGAGTTAACTTTGAATTTGTATAATTAGCCTTTGTGTAATTCACCATATTTATATTATTCGCAACTAACAATTATCCGTTTGATTTGTATTTGTATATGATGATTTGTATTTTTGTATGATGATGATTTCCTTTAGTTTTTAAGTTTTATCATCATAGACATTCAATCTTTTGTGTATAAAATTTTAATGTTTGTATAAACGTGTAGTTTTCGAATTTTGTATGATATGTTTATGTTTGTATTAATTCATATGTTTATGTTTGTATTAATTCGTTATTTCGTGTTTTTATTATATTTGTATAATTTCAGACTTTATATTACTCAATTATACAAAAACACGCGAATTATATAAATTTACCCGTGAATTATACAAACGAGATGTGAATTATGCAAATTATTGCCCTCTCTCACTTGTCTCTCCTACCTGTCACAATCTCGTTCGCCTTTCTCATCCCTCTCACAATCTTGCTCGCCCCTCTCCTCCCTCTTACAATCTCGCTCGCCAAATATACAAATACATATGTATATCAGTTGCATATATATAATTATTTAACCGATATACATATTCCATTCACCTCTCTCCCACTCTCTTCCCCCTCTCGTTCGCCTCTCTCCTCCATCTCTCAATCTCGCTCGCTTCTTTCCTCCCTAAAACGTTACGAATCGTAATTAGCAAATTATGGCTATGAAGCCGCATAATTAAACTATTTTTAAATGACTGTATACAAAAATTTCCCTTTTTTTAATTGAAAATATCAGCATATATGTTTTCGTCAATTTATGGACATTGAAATTTTGTGGTAAGATGAGTTCATTTCGAGTTGGGACTCTACAAATTGTGTTCAACTCAAATAAGGATTCTTGGAGCCTACTCAACCCTAAATCCTAGTTTATGCCTATATAAAGGGTATTAAATTCACTTAAAATTCATCTCGAAAATTCCATAAAGAGATCAAGATCTCAAATACTCCAGAAATTGATGGATTATTCATATACAGAGGTCAAATCTAAATCATACTAGTTTGAGAATACGCCACTAACGGTCCTCGAATCATGAATAAATCCTAGGAAAGTAGAATCAAGGGATCAACAGAATTGTACCTGCAATCTATCTTGATCAATAAAATCGTATTTCTTCATATTTTATTTGTGATTTTAATTTATTTTCTGTGACTTTAAAATTTGTTGGGAACAGTCTATACTATGCAAAATTGTCGAGAGTATTTTCAGAATTTCAAATCTCTTTATCAATGTCTGCCTCATCCAACAAATATATATTTAGTAGTTGATAATTTGGTCTCATTCAATAAAAGAATTTTTAATCAAATTATCATTCTTCTGGGGTTGATTTAAAAAAAATTATAATTTGAGGCAGAAAAATCTATAAGAATACTTACAATATGATTTGTTGGCCTTGTGCTAGCATAGGGCTTTGCATCTAGTAGTACTAATATTACTCTTAATCGTTTTCCCTGTAAGGATTATGATTTAATTAGGGATTTAATCAGTGGATAATCCCTGGCTATGTTTAGCTTGGGAAGTGTCTAGCTAAATCAAATTTAATTTTTAGCGGAAATTAATACGATCTTGGTGCTCATTTTCTTGTAGTATATCGAGAAGCTTATCATATCGTTTTAACTAGGTACGAACTTTAAGAAAAAAAGAGTGATTTCTGAAACTTGTGATATAAAATAAGTGAGAGATGTTTGTGTGACTATAAATCATTTTATAAGGATATGACTTAAATAAAAATGTATCATTCATTTTGAAACCGACAAGTAAAGAAAAATAAGTTAGAGATTTAGGAATAATACTACTACTAAATTCAAGAAAAATTTGAATACAACCATAAAACAATATCTTTTTATTCATGATCCATTCAACATTGGGAGGCACAAAATAGCAAGAAGACACTCTCTCACACATATTACTCTTTAAATGTCATATTATCAATTATGGTACACAGAAACATTTGGCCTTGGTTCGAAATCTTTTTCTTGCTTGAGACCAATATTGTCATCATTGTGATAACTAGATACATTTGGCCTTGGCTCGAAATCCTTTTCTTGTTTAAGACCAACATCGTCATTACGATAACTAGATACATTTGGTCTTGGCTCGAAATCTTTTTCTTGTTTGAGAGGAACATTGTCATCATCATGATAACTAGATACATTTGGTCTTGGCTCGAAATCTTTTTCTTGTTTGAGAGGAACATTGTCATCATCATGATAACTAGATAAATTTGGTCTTGGCTCAAAATCCTTTTCTTGTTTGAGACCAGCCTCATCATTATGGTAACTAGATACATTAGGAATTGGCTCAAAAGATAATTTGTGACAATCAGTTTTCTCTTTATGTGGCTGAGGCATAAGATGTTGGATTGCTTTAGGCATTGGCTCATCTTTCATCACATCTCTCCAATATTCTCCAGGATCTTTTCTTGCATTAGTGTACTGCCCAAAAAATGAAAAAGAAAAATTGGTTATTCCCAAACTAGATATATATGGATCAATTAATTCTTCATGAGTACATAGTTCATACTTGGCATAATGTTAGTCTCAACTTGATACATTAAAAAGTTAGTCTCAACTTGATAAGTAGTATTTGTACATCAGTCTAGTGTCTAGACACTTCAATTTGGTATCAGTTGACAAATTAATAAACGACTCCAACCTATCCCCATTGTATCTCCTAAACACCCAACTCTCATGTGACACATAAATTCTAGAGGTATCTACAACGCATTAACATTTTGTAAGTTGAAGTGCTCGAAATTGAAGTGTTTACGTGAAATAATGTTAAATTTGGGTGTCTGTTTATGTATCAGTGGAATTCAAAGAAATTTCAGAAATATATCAATATTCATGTTACATAGGAATAATCAGTTCAAATGAAATGATTCTTGTAACCATGATGTTCGAATTAATTTGCGTGCACTTTGATTAATTCTACGTAATATATATTACTTCTCATTCATAATAAATATCAAATAACTTTATCCACTAGATAGAGAATGACGGATATCATCTAAGAACACTTACCAGGGCAAGTGAAAAGAGCAGAATGAGAGCAATATGTGATTTCATAATTTTAAAAGTTGTTGTAATTGATGTTTTGCTTAATCAACTTGATGCATAGATAAGCTTTATATAGAGAGAGGTTGGGATATAATAGGAGTAACTTTTACAAATAGACATTATAATAAATTTAATTATACTTCATAGTTATAGTTTGCATATTTTACGAGTGATAGCTATGGTTAAAGTTGTCTTGTTTGCACAATTCGCAGATTTGTATGATTTGCAGTTTTATATAATTTCCGGATACATTTGTATATTTCAGTTATTTTTGTATAAACTCAAAATAATGAATTTATATAACTGAAAATCTCGAAAGTGTAAAAAGTTATACAAATTATTATATACAAATTCTGAATCATACAAAAGTTACACAAATTATATTGTACAAATTCTCAAAACTAAAAAAATGAGCCGCGTATTTATTACTAAAAATAAGTCGCAAATTACAATTTAGGCAAATTAGAACCATATTAACTAATTAATTTATATATATTTGCTTATATGCGTAATTTTCCTATATAATATAATTGTAATTATAATAAAACGATATTATATTGTAACTAAACAACAAAGTTTAACGTGATTCATGTACACCCATATAGTACGTAGGACCAAAATAATAAAAGATTTTTGGATATATATCAAGATTATGTCTCTATACCATCAAAATAATTAAAGATTTTTGGAACATATATCACGATTTTATGTCTCGAACTTTTTTTTTTTTTGATTGAAAATATAGTGCAAATAATTATTATTACTCGTAATAAATAAAACATACATACCATATATGGTTGGCTTGTAGTAATCAATAATCGTCACACTGTCATAATTAATTGTCGACCAAATCTTTTATATCTTATTATATTTTGATATGGTTGTTATAAATACATTATTATAATGCACCACTTGCTCATAAATGTCTTTTTGGTGTCTAATTATTTGTATATTTTTTTTAATTATTCTTAATTATTTATTCATTTTGATAAATTAAGAAAGTTTAAAAAATTTATTCATTACATCTTCAATTAATTACTTTGAAAAGATTGAATTTCTTGAAAATTTTAATTTTTTAATTCATCTACTTCATAATTCATAGAGGTCAAATGATTAACCCGCTATGTCAATAATTATTTTCTTAATAGATGTGTCAATTCAAAAGTAGACAAATGTTTAGCGCTGAAGGAGTAATATTCTTACTGTTTTAATATATGTGACATATTTTATTTTTTGAGTTTAAGTCTGATCGAAAATTTGTAATAAAATTATATATATATATATATATATATATATATATATATAAGTTATGTAAAAAGTACTATAAATCAGTATATTAATTAATAATTTAAAATATTTAGAACATCCATGAAAATTTTACAGTTAAATTTATTTAAACCTTAAAATTTGAAAAATGTGTTGGGACGGCAAATAGTAACATATGCGACCCAAATTCAGAGCATCTGAAAGTGTCCAATCATGATAATAATGTAAATTTATGTTTGTTTTGAAATTAAAAAATATAGATTTTCTAGTTATATATTTTTTTAATATACAAATAAATATTTTATAATTGTGAAAACTATCAAATCTTTTGACTAATTTTTATATAATCTTATCAAATGCGCAAAATTATACTCCCTCTGTTTAAAAAAGACTGTCATTATTTTCTTTTTAGTTTGTTTAAAAAAGAATGATCCCTTTCCTTTTTTGGCAACAATTTAACTTTAACTTTCCACGTGATATGTTTAAGACCATAAGATTAAAGGGTACTTTTGATACATTTGACATAACTTTAATTTATAACCACAAAATTAAAAATCCTTCTTTCTTTCCTTAAGCTTCATTTCAAGTCAAACTAGGTTATCCTTTTTTAAACGGATAGAGTAATTCGTAACCAAGGAAGGTATCAATATGTCCTTGTTGGGTATATAGTGCATAACAATCCTACGGCCCGTTATTTTAATAAGTCACATATTTTCATGTTGTTTTATGAATAAATGTTTATAATTATATGTTATTATAAAAATTTTAAAACACGTATAAGATCATTAGTCAACAATAATAGTAACTAACTATTTTTTACTATAATCTTTCCACATGGTGTATATAATCTCTTCTGCAAGTTTGACGGCAAATCAAAAGTGATTGAAACCATCATCAAATTTATCTTTTAAAAAAATTAAAATCGAGAGATTCATCATGTCGATTTTATATAGTATAAAATTTTCTATTCTTACAACATTATATGTCAATAATAAATTGATATACTTCAACAAGTAAATACAGGTTTTTAGTTTATATTGTTGCAAAGTATTTTTACTGAACAAAATAAGGTTTTTTTTCTCAAATACAGTTATTATTTGTAGTAAAACTATAAAAAGTCGACTGAATGTTAAAAAATAGATAAAAGTTTGAAGAAGATTAAAATTTGCACCGGTACAACAAACACAAAGAATTATTTATGCTCCATGTGAAAATACAAGAATGACTTTAAATCATAATCCAAAGTAGGGGTAGCAAAACGGGTAAATAATATGGATATCTATTCATATTACCCATATTAAATGAATTTGGTATCCAACTCATTTGAAAATGGATAAAAAACAAGTAATACCCATATTATCCATTTATAAATGGGCAGTTCAATGGATAAAATAGGTAAAAACAAACCAAAAAAAAAGTGATAAAGGATTGGATAATAAGAATTTTTTTTTTGAAAAAAAATCATAAGAAAACATGAAACTTTTTTTACATTTATTTGGGATAGGGGTGGTAGGGATGGAGTGGAGGTGGTGGGGGTAAGAGGGGTTCTAAGGGATGGGGTTATAATTTTTTTTTCAAAAAAAATTAATGAAAAAATTAATTATTTTTTTTGGGACGAGGTGTTGAAGGGGGTGGAAAGGATCAAAATAATTCCTGTTCTTTGGGTTAAGACTCAAAGTGATCCTTGAATTTTCACATGAAGCACTAATAGTCCCTCATGTTTGCAATATTGGTGCACTTTTGGTCCTCCTTCAAAATTTTGCCTATTTTTTGCATTGATTTATCCATGACCTATGTATGAGATGTCTAATCGTCATTTTATATATTTAGTAGAAATAACAACTCTATATCAAAGAATGTGAGAAGAAAAACACTTTATTTTGTTTAGTAGAAATTGTATTGCTGGTAAAGTCGAAAAGTTCATCACAATATTTTCACGCGCAATAGTATAATTTTTTCTTTTCCTGCAAAGTCATATGTTAAGATATTCTTAGTTTAGCTGCAGTAATATTTCTAGTGAACAAAACAAGATGTTTTTCTTATCACATTCTCTCAGATAGAGTTATTATTTCTATTATATATATATAAAAAAAACGATTACACATTCTTTATATAAATTTTTGGACAAGATCAATGTTAAAAAATAGGCAAAATTTGAACGTTAACCTAAAGATGAGGGATTATTTTGAGCCTTCCCTCTTGGGGGGGGGGGGGGAGTTCGTAGGGGTAGGGGGATAGGGGGTGTGGTAATTTTTCTTGAATGGGGTGTGGGGGCAGGGGGAGGCTGGTAGGGGTAGGGGGGTTGGGAGTGGGGGGGGGAGGTTGATAGGGGGGTAATTTTGTTAAAAAAGATTAATGATTTTTTTTTAAAATTTTGTTAATTTATTTTGGGATGAGGTGTGGGAGGGGTAGGGGGTGGTAAGAGTAGGGGGGTGGGAGGCATGTAGGAGTCGGGTGAAATTTTTTATTTTTTCTTTATATATTTTTTACATTTTTTTGGGGTGGGGTGCCTGATATGGTGGATTTTTTTTTTTTTAATAAGAACTTTAATATAATATGGGTAATATGATTATCCATTTAAAATATGAGTCAAATCAGATAACTTACCTATTTTTATTTAACTCGTTTTTTTATCGATTCATATTCGACTCGATTCACTATTTTGTCACTCTCAATCCAAAGATAAGTGTTTATTTTGCAGTTTTTCTCTTTAAAAATTAGTTTAATTTTACTTTGTTCTAAAACACTCATTTTTTAAATAATTTATTTGTGTATCATAACACAAATTGGTCCTATGGTCTAGTGGTCAGGACATTGGACTCTGAATCCAGTAACCCGAGTTCAAATCTCGGTAGGACCTCTTCTTATTTTTTCCTTTTTTCCATACGCCATATATTGATTCGATATAAATTTTTAATGCTCGTATGTATTTATTTTATTTGTTAAAAATAATTTTTATCGCATATATCGTATTAGTTTAATATAAATATTTAAAATTGATATATATTTATCCGAAAGATAATCAATCTATAACACTCTCAATTCAACATTACTTTTAACAATTTTGCCTATTAAAACATATATATGACACAAAAATGAACACAAATTACTGATCAAGAAGTTAAATTTGTCTGGTTACAAATGCGATACTTCTAATCGTGTTATTCTGAAATTAATCATCATATCATATCTTTGAGGGGATAAATATTTGATAATCGAACATGATCAAATATTATTTAAATGTCAACGTTCGTATTTTCAATCATCAAATAAATATAAAATTAAAGTTTAAAAGAATTTAAAAACTCTAAAACTATTTCTTTTCAAACTTGAAATTAAATAATTCAAAGTTTAAAGTTAGAAATAATGAACCTATTTAACAGTCGCACATTTTTTAAATAATCTCTATATATTATTTTTTCTAAAGTATTTATTTTTATTATCAAATTTAGAGAAAAAAACAACATTGAACACCCGGAAATTAAGCAGCTTGAGCCTAAATAAAACATAGAAAAAATAATTTTCAAAAAATTGACTTTCATTTCTCTTCTTTTTTTTCTCTCTTTTGGAAACAAAAGAGAAATACAAATTCAAAGCTTGTCCATGGGGATTTTTCAATAACCTTTAGAGGTTCAAGAGTTTGCCAAAATTTTTTTATCTTACTAACTTTTTGAGTTTTTTTTTTATTTAAAAAAAACATTTTTTTTCATTAATCTAATTTTTTGGAAATTTGAATGTTCTTTATAATTTTCATCCTCCTTAATTGTTTGAATTTTCTTTATTATTCAGCAAAATCTTGGTTTTTATTTGTCAAAACCAAGAAAGCTGAATTTTTTTTAATTAGAAATTGTTATT